GGGGGGGGAGGAAACAGGAAAGTAGAGGGGAGAGGAGAAGAGCAGGAGAGGAGAGGAGGGGGGGAGGAAAACAGGAAAGTAGAGGGGAGAGGAGGAGAGCAGGAGAGGGGGGGGGCATGTTTAGGTTATTCAAAATCCCCCCATTGAACCATTACAGGGTCACACATTCATCTTTATGAAAAGTGCAGCACACATTGAGCCAAGCCACTTCATAGATTAATCCAGCCTCGAGCGTCCTCGCTCCCCTCGCTCACTGATCTTTTTTGGGGTGCCTCTTTCGCTCCTCAGGCTCCCTCCCGGGCCAGTGTGACTTTGAAGGCGGAGTCTGCGGCTACACTCAGGATAAGAGAGAAGACCAAGCTGACTGGCTGCGAGTCCGAGGACACACCCCTACCTCCTATACAGGACCCCGAGGAGACCACACCACTGGGGTGGGTGAGTCATTTCCTCATGCATTGCTTTGTTCATTCATTCATTCTGTGGTCATAACCCCCCCCCCAGGATGATTGGATGGAACCCTGTGTGTGATGTGAGTGCATCATCCCACTCTCCTATAATTCTTGTGAGATGTCTAAATATTGGAGTAGTTGTGTGTTAGATGATGTTGCGTGCTGTGTTCTCCTGTTGTTCTTTGAGCGTTTTACTTTGACAGCCTTCACTGGGACCAGTGCAGTCCCATAGCGTCCCATAACCGTGTCATTCACGTTCCTCCTCCAGGCTACTTCATGTACATCGAGGCGTCGCTCATGCGTCCAGGTCACAAGGCCCGACTGCTGACCTCTGACCTGCGGGGCTCCTCGTCCCCTCAGTGCCTGGTCTTCTACCACCACATGTACGGCTCCGGCACCGGCATACTGAGCGTGGTCCTGCGCCACGGAGCGCGTGACTCGTTGCTGTGGCGACGGCGCGGCGAGCAGAGTGTCAGCTGGACGAGGGCGATGGTGGACTACCACTGCGACGTCCGCCATCAGGTGCGTCAGCGGGCAGGGTCATTATGGGAGTTGCAGGCCGGCTCCCTGACAAAGGGCGCATCTCAAATCTCTTAATTGTCATTTCCTCACTCCTCGATCCTCGCTATGGTGTTCTGCGCCGCCATATTGACGGCCGTCCCAAAGCTTTTATTTCTGCTCTGAGGAGTGAGGATCGAGGAGGGAGGTGTTTTCATGATCTGATATTTCAATAACTTTTATTATGAATACAATTAAAGTCAGAGAGATCTTTTTACATCATTTATCATCATTTCATTCAGTCGTGAGGCTGTTCATTCCTGATTGTCGGGTTTGATGAGTTTTATCATTTAAGAGAAACAATAATCATATTCTGGGTTATTTAATAATGACGTCACAATCTGAATTTCAAAACGTACAGACGCAAATAATTCATAAATAAGACGATCGCATTCCGCCGGTAGAAATGGATCCTGTGCTTATAAACAGAACACAGGACACAGTTTAACAGACTACAGAGAGAAACACCTCTACAGTGGTGATCACTGTGTGTCTTTATTAGTTATTAGTGTTATTAGTTACTGTTATTAAGTACAGTGATCATGTGAACACACACTAACTTATCAAAAGTCTCTCCAGCTGTTAAAGCCGACTGACAGCTGATCAGCTGATCAGCTGTGATCAGCTGATCATCCGTCATCAGGAACAGACGTCGCTTCACGTGACGCTACTGAGGAAAGGACGTCTCATGTCTCTTAAAACATATTTCCTCGTTCCTCTCTCCTCGCATGGTTTCCTCCATGCATCCCTGGTGGGAGGGACTAGGACGCAAGGAAAGGACCCAAGTGAGGGAAACGGGGATGACATTAAGAGACTTGGGAAGTACCCAAAGACAGAGTGGAGACAGCAACGAATGCTCGTCTCCACTCGTCATCAAATGAATTAAAATAATGCAAGCTGCACCGTACAACAAGCCGGCTAGGGACGGGTATCGCTAGGATTTTATCGATTCTAGTACTCTTATCGACACTGCTTATCGGTTCTTTTTGATTATATTGTGAGAAAAAAAAGACAATTAATTAAGAAAAGAATCAAGAATTCTTTATTAGTCGTTCTTTAAAATACATTAGCAGCTAAACAATTAGCTAAGTGATTGGCTTTCATTTATTAGCCTGTTCTCATTATAAAACATCTGGACCAGGATGGACGGCGTCTCCACACACAGGAGAGAACTGAGCATTTCTGCAGACTGATGTTGGTCACATGTGATGAACTGCTGCTGTTACCTCCCTCACATGTTCTCAGCATCTACTGAAGTCAAATGCTTTCTTCTCTTTGCCATGATGTGTGTGTGTGTGTGTGTGTGTGTGTGTGTGTGTGTGTGTGTGTGTGCGCGCGCGCGCGCGTCAGAGTAAAGCACAGAGAGAGGACATCTCCCTCTGTAACTTCTAAAGTGTCTGTACCAGAACTGTTAACTCTGGACCGCATCAATACTCCGTGTTTTTACTCATTTAGAACCGGTTCTCATTTAGAACCGGGTTCCAGGGGCCGAGTTGTACATTGTGGTCACGCTTCTTGCTCAATCATTTTTATACACGGCTGGGCATTATGGTTTCTTACCAACTTCACTTCACTCTATTGATGAGGTCCAACATCAATGATGAATCGTCCGATGAACCCGTGTAATCATATATGAGTGTGCAGCTCGTTAGATCTATGGCCACATTGTCAGTCCTCACACCGGACCCGTTTCTAAGTCTTTGTACCGAATACTAATAATGAAAAATATACAAGTTAAAGGGCGTGTCCATTCTTTTTGTTGCTTTTGTTTTGTGTCGTGCTGTAGCTTCTTAGTGCTGCTAATGTATTCAAGTCATACAATTCTAATTGAATTACACGTGTTTTACCGTCACAAAGCCGCTCTAAAGACTTTCTCCCACGGTGAAGGTAAGAAATGTGAATCTGAACAGCAGCATTGATGCTGTAAAGCTAGTTCCTCTTTAATACAAAGAGGTCGAAATAAGTGGACTTCACACACTCACGTAGTTTTGTGTTTCCTGCAGATTATATTTGAAGCCATCCGGGGCCCGACACTGCGGAGTGATATCGCCATTGATGACGTCGGTTTTAAAAGGGGACCGTGTGAAGGTTAGTACGACACTTATGTCCCTCTGAACAGCTGCAGACACACTACTACAGTACACAGGAGATGTTTGAGCAGTAATATCAGTTGTATTTCATGAGTGGAAGCATAATATCTGTCATGCCTCGTCCTCCTCAGATCCCGGCGACGTCACTCCGTACTCCGGCTTCTCCGAGTATTTCAATGAGATTGAGGAATGAGACGTCTTTCTGTACAAACGTCTCGTCGTTCTTCGGAACGGCAAATGTGAACAACCCGCCGAGACGATTTACAAAGTTGTAGAGCAATGCTTATGTTGCAGCCAGGACCTCCCCCCCACTGTGCTGCTGTCTTTCATTCACATCCCCAGTCCAGTCATCGTAGGTTGGTTTTGCTTTTATTCTCATCGGTCACAGTTCAAGACAATGGAACTGGATGATGGTCACGATTCCTCCCCGGGACAACATTATTAAATGAAATCTGACATCAGTCGCCCCTCACACTCAGGACTCAAATACACCACCACAAACCAGTGCTCAGGCCGGTGGACACTGTGCACAAAGAAAGTTAGCAAATATTTGCCCAATACACCACAGGGCAGGTACAGGTGTGATCTGGCTCTACAGAGGTGAACCAACACATGAATTACGTTAATGAGCTTCAAAAACAGACCTGACACGTCACTTTCTTTGGTCTTTTCATTGAGTTATCACACATAGAAAGACTCAGCAACACGAAACACTGATGCTTCATCGGCGTAGACAAAGTGAATAACAAGGTTCAGTCATTTCCCTAAACAGCTGGTCGCTGTAGTTTTTATCAAGCACTCCTCAAACAGGAGGAAACTGTGTACATGTAGATACATTCATTGTTGGTTTAGATATTTGAATGAGATTTTTTGAACCTTTTCCTCTACGTTACCATGATTTACATTCAGGATGTTTTTGAAAATTGGATGTTAAATAGTTGATTCCATCCCAGAGAGGTGGTTCAGCCTAACTGGCTTTTAAGACTCAGGATTGGAAAGAAGAAGAAGGGGTGGAACAAATATTTGCACACTTTGGTGCGTAGTGCCACTGGGGCTCGACTGCTGCCGTGTGGTTGGTGTGGGAGCAAAACAATGACAACATTAATGCCGAGACAAAACGTCACGGGACATTCGCTGACTCATTCTCCTCCGGGAGGGAAACTATCCCCAACTTTTAGTTTGGCCAGCAGGCGCAATACACTTTAAATATCCTGTTATTTGGGCTTCCACTGTTGCACTATTGTTTGTGTACTTCTGTCCTGTGTGTAGTTGTTTGAAGTATCCGATGTTTGAATTTACAACTGAGGTCCAAGAGATGGTGATGTCAGGAAATGTGTGGTTTATAAGGAACACTTCGCCGCTTCGCCATGGACAGCTAACACCACGCTACTGTGCTGCTGTTTCTCACGTTTCTCATCTCAAAGTATAACTTTATCATATTTCTCACAAGAATTGTATTACGTTAGTTCCACTGTGACAAAGGACACAAGTCCAGCTTCAGTCTGAAGCCACAATCAGATATTGTGACGTTTGTTTTTGTGCATCAGTGTCTTCTCAAGGCATGGATTCAGTGAGGTGCTGGAAACCTTCCCAAGAGATTTGATCTGTGCCGACTCATTACCTCCTGCAGACCTTTCAGCCGTTCATGCTACTAATCTCTAAGTATTCCAAGGTGCTTCTGTGCACCACTGTTGAGCTGTTAGCCTGTTAACCAGACTGGGGGTGGGGGGGGGGGTGTGGAACCTGCAGGGTATTTCCTGTGAGCGTCTCTACTGACCACTAGACTCTTTATTTCTTGTATATCTCACCATTCTATTAACCTGTGACACTATAGTGCATGAATCCTTCACGAGATGAAATCCTCATGTTCGATCTGACTTTGCCCCTTAACAAATACGATGAACTGAAAACACACTGAGAAAGGGTTCAAGTATTAAGATGAAAACACGGACAACTACCAGACCGCTCAACGGTGTGGCAGCGACCTGTCAATCAGCGTGTAGCCCCGCCCTAAAGCATCCCCTGCTTTATGGTCTGTGTGACTCTAGATGGACCATAATGTACTAAATGAACATCATGCTGTATTGAAGAAGAC